GCTTGTATGGAGAGCAGGACATGTATAAAGAAATGGTCAGAACACTGCATGGGTCATCAGTTGAAGCAGCAAAGGCAAACCAGAACAGAAATCAAATGAAATGGCTGCCACAGCACACAGGAAAAAAACTTTGTCACTATAAATGAATAAAAACGCAGATTTGCCTTGCAGGAAGTTGAGAAAAGCACTGAACTGAGGCTGGGCATGTTCTACCCTGTTATTTTTATGCATTCAGTATTAGCACCTCCCTAAAGTTACCATGCAGGTAGGAAAACAAGGTCTGATTCTGAGCAATAGGTATACGAACATCATGTAATTATAGACAAAGACTATGTGTGTGTGTGTATACTTACCTTATACATGCTTACATTACATTTTTGCTCAACATTTCTTATAGGAATGCCAGCATTTTGGACTGCTTTTTCAAAAGAGAAGCTGCAGCCTAAATAAAAAGTGACCATGTCCTTAAGTTGTTCAGAATACTCCTTTAGGCTTTTTAGTGATCCAGTACAAGCTCCATGCTCATATATTCTGTACCGTAGGCAGTCAGTTCTAGTGAAATAAGAAGTTGTCACAGCTTTATTATGTTTTTTGAAAACAATGTGTTTAACAATTGTCAAACAATTGTTTGAACTGACATTAACCCAGTATCACACCAGAAGATAGAGCCTTCTTTATGCACTGTTTTTACCTCTGAGTAACAATGGAACAAGCATGTGCAAAACCCCCAGAACACTATTCTGCACAAAAACCAGAAGCTAGTAATCAGAAAATGCTAGAGTTTGGTATTTTTCCGGTTTTATAGGTAAATGTCCCTTACGTATAACTTGTGGCAGGGCTTCAAAAATGAGAAAGCTGTTTTAAATGTTGCTTTTAGTATTTACTACTGGAGTACTTCTTTAAAATTTCAAGAGACTCTACATATATCACGCAGTCACCATGCCTGCATGACTACTAAATAAATGTAAAACCCTATTTTTTAATTCTGCTGGCTCACACTGCAAAATATTTAGAAATTACAAAAAAAATAACTTTTGCATCAGAGAAATACTTGTAATACTGACAATTATCAAGTTTCTCAAGAACAAGACAATTAAGCTGTTAAACTCAGGCATAGTTTTCATTCAAAGGTGTAACTCCAAGACGAGAAACTTGTTCAAAGTATACAACAGCGTAAGCAGGCTGCTCCCTGGAACCTCCTTAAACCCCACCAGCATTCACTGCAGGACTTTAACAAGCAGAGTTGGTCTGTAGTTACCTGATATCGGAATCACTACTCAGAGAAGTACATTTCCAGTCGCCTGGTTTGCTTTTGTACAGTAGTGGCAGGGGTCCATCATTTGCATGGCAAAACTTCTCAAAGTCATCAGCCAGGGTTTTGTGCAAAATCACCACATTGGCCTGTTTGTAGCCTGAAATTGTGGAAGGTAGGAATGACTGGTTACCAGTTCAGCTTTTCGTTTCTGAGACAATAACTTTTTTCTATAGGTTTCTTTAGATGGTCTATAAAAAAAATACCTGAAGGAAATTTTTGTTTCAGAGCTCTATAATTAAATTAAACAATTTTTTAAAACATTTTTTAAATCATAGCTAGATGTACTCTGCATGTAAAGTAGTTCACAGCTAAAATAGTTGGCAGACATGAGTAGTACTGAACTACGAAGACAGCTTAATTACTTTAATAAACATTTCTATGAATTAATGTATAATTTATTGCCTAACCTAGGAAATAAGTATTCTCCAGGAAAATGCTTTACTTTGTAAATGTTAGAAAAGAGTCAGTGCAAGGCTACTCCATACCATACTTTCACCACTTTTTTCTTTTAATATCAAGCTATAAATAATGGTCAGTCCAACAGTAAAACCCTGTTATCCTGACATTATGTAGCCCACTCTTTAGAGTTCGTTGGCTATGGAATTTTATCATGGGTTGCAATTTGACAGACATTATTACAGCTCAGGAGTAAACTCTTCCCTGTCACACTGAATCTCAGTCATTTCTACTATTTCTAATAAAAAAACCCAACAACAACAAAAAAACCCCAAAACCTAAAATGAACAGAACTGCTACACTTTCTTCACTTCATAATTTTGATTTAAAGGTTCTTGACAACTACCATGCGATAGCTTCTAAAGACATTAACATTTTAGCAATGAGTGTCAACAAAAAAAGCCCACATTCATTTATTTAGCAAAAAATTATTTTCTAAACAGTAGTATCAATGCCATGTTAATTTTCCTTCATGTAAATACCAGCTGTTTAAATGCACAGAGGGAATGTGGTGTACAACTAGTCTGTGGTGTATAAAACTGCCAATTAACTGTCCCTTACTCCTGTATTGATTGTCTTGAAAAGTTATTACCATGTCTGATATTAGACAGGCGAATAAGAGGCTGAAAAGAACCTCTGACTTTCTTAAATAATGCAGTAGTCTGTTATCCAAGAGGCAATAATTTAGTTTAAATCAATAACCTGCCTTAAAAGGCTGTACAAAATCAGCCAAATCATACTCTTGTCCAAAGCTAACATAGAAACTAAAAGATAAAATTCTATTCCTGGTGGAAAAAATGCAAAGCAAAGGCTGAGGTAAGCATGTATTTGCATACTGAATGTGACCACAAACTGCTCTCTTGGGAGTACTCAGCACAAAAATTCATTTTATTACTAGCAAATGATACTAAATACAGAAACAGTTTCTTGCTAAATACAGAAATATGTTTTTGTTAAATAAACATACTAAATTTACCACTGAATAAAATACTACATTCAGTTACCTCACAACTTAATTCCCTGCCACCCATGTGAAATCCACAGACACTTTCTATTTTGCTGGTGATATTCAGGAATTCTTAAAATTACAGTTTCAGTCAGTGCACTCAACTTGGACAACACTGAATTTAAAATACTAGTCACAGCTGACAGAGTGAATCTGCAGGTAACTTTCAGGTACTCTATAAACTCAGGAAGCTTCATTCTAACTTCCTGACAACTTCACTGCTCCTCTATCTTTTTTTTTTTTTTATAGATTAAAAGACATTTTTCCCTTCCCATATCTTCTTTTTTTAATGTATGTATGTATATATATATATGTACTTTCATTAGGTATCCATCATAACAAACATATTCATGAGCAATGTTAGTGAAGCTGGACATGCTGATCAACCCATGCATAAATTCAACACATTTATGTCCCAGTTCAGAGAAGTTTAGAAGGAGCTCTTAATTTCTTTGGTGAATGACAAAGAGGACAGTAAGAGATAATTATTTTGCTTGTATATCACCCAACAATGTAAGACAATTTTAAGGATTCTGAGAAATTCCAATTACCTTAGATTTTCAGTTGTTGCATAACAGAGCTGTATGCTTATGGCTAGAAGTCTGAACTTGTTTTGTATGTAAACAGTACTTTTTTTCAAATGTTAAATTTAACACATTGAAAACTACTGCAGTAATACACTTAAAAATACAGTTGGGGCAAATTGAGGATTATTAATGTTACAACATATTCCATTAGTACTTTTCAACTTCTGTACTGAGGAAAAAGAAAGCCATTATTTTGAGACTCACTATGATTCTATAAAATGACCTTTAATGTTCTTACATTATAGAAATGCTTCTACATACAGCTTTGTTGATTAGCTATTTGCCACAGTATTTTTAGTTATCTTAAGTCACATTTTAAAGTTGATCAGAAGAATGACAGGCTTTTCTGCTTCTGTAAAGGTCCAGCTAGGAAAGGCAAAACAGAAATCAATTTTCCAGAATGCATTCAGTTATCTGAGTATAAATCTGTGTTTTCCCTCCCCCTTACAATTTCCAGTTTTGCTGAGTCAATAATCTCCAACTCCTGCAAAAAATGAAGCAGTAAACAACTTCTGTGACGTCTTTAATTCTTCTCCAGATCTGATGCACTAAAAAAAGCATGGTCTCCATGAAGAACGTAGTGTGTCATCCTACAAACGTGATAATAACATATGCAAGAGAAGCCAGAGTTGGTTAAAGATTTTTCAAATATTTTCTGCATCTGTAACTTCTCAATGACATAAATGAGAGTTGAGGGATGCACTGCAAACATTGAGAACAAAGTCCATGTACTTTATACAGGTAGGATGATATGCTTTTCTCAGATGTAGCTTTATGATTTAAGAACACAGTGTCAGGTGCTTACAGTGTGATTTAAAAAACACTCAAGTGACTTAAGAATACAAGCCAACTTACTGTTTTCTTCTGGTTTAATTGAGTGCTTTTAGTATTCCTACGTTCCCTCACAAGCAAAAAAAAAGAAAACTCATAATTGTGAATCTAAAATGGAGTCACTTTTACACGTAGAGCTGTTAGGTTTACTTACCCTCTGCCATTCCAGAAGTATTACTAATATTAAGTCTGTTGCATCGAATTATTCTTCTTAGCATATGGGGTAGGAGAGATTTCAAACCTCCTGTCAAAACCATCTCTTCAGCCTTAACAAAGATAATGGTAAATTTACACACAAAGCAAATTTATTTTTTCACATCTTAAATTCCAATTTGCTGGAGAACTTAGCTTATGTTTCCTCCTTGTGCTCCACCAAAGTTATTATCGCTTATAACTCAAAAGGCAGATCAAAGTCAAAAGGTTATTTCACTGACATTTTATGACTAAATATACTGAATCATTGAATGAACTAGCCAGAGACATGCACTTTAACATTCATAAATAAAATGGAAAGTTTTGCTGGATGATAATGTAAGAAAATGGTTTCTTTCCTCCATGATAAATATAAATTTCCTAGTCACTTCTCCAAAATTTCTTGTAAGTCTAAAATGGCAAAAACACAAATGGATTAACCTACCGAGCTATAATCTGTAATAGCACTTCTCTATTCAAAATGCTTTTAGACCATTAGCAATACAACCTTGCAGTAGAAAGATAACTATATTCAGAACATGTCATTTTAATACATTTCACATGTACTTTTCAGATACTAATTATGTAGAAATGAATACTCTGTGGCTATTCTTCTGCTGGGAGAGCAGACATGTAGATGTTTAAGGCACTTTTCATACAATCTGGAGTAGGAACAGAGATAAGTACCCTAATCACAATCACTATCTGACTCTTCTTACATCTTTTGGAGATTTAAGGTCTTTTTGCCCGCAATCTAGTCAAAGTTCATGCAAAGTTTTTCCCTCAACCTAAATGACCTAATAACTAAAAGGAGTCAGTTACCGCACTATTAGGAGAAAAGATAGCCTATGTTAAAAGTCATAATTTTTCTGCCTGTGATTTTAACCTTGGTCACTTTTAAGTAAAGAAACTGAACTATCCTCCAAGTAATCAAATTACCAATTACAATTACCTCCAAGTTTTTCTTTAATTCAGAAGAAGCCATTCTTGATGTCATTCATAAGAAGTAATAAATATGACAGAAGCTGTGCTGCTTTTTTTTAAATGTGCCAGTAAATTAATGTACAATGAGATGTTACAACCTTCTAGCAAAAGTTAACTTTTCTGTTAAAGGTCCACAGTTTTATACTATGACAGTACAAAGTTTCACAGTGGAGTGAAATATAAGTGAAACACTTTATTGTGAAAATTTATACCTCTGAGCAACTCATTCCTTAATTAACGTGAAGGAAGAGCAGTGATATGTTTTGACTGGAATTACAGTCTTATCATAGGCTGTCTATCCAAAATGCTTCCCAAAGCTTGCAGAATTCTGGGAGGTTACATTTGGTGCACTGAAATTTAGAGTAAATTTTGTATCTGTTCTTAATTCTGCAATGTTTATATAACATTGTCAGTCAAAAGAAATCAGTCTGGATTTTTTTTTCCTGAACTTTACTTACTACTTTCTTACTCTTCTCATCTTTTCTGTTTCTACACTGTAAGTCTGTATACTGTACAAAAAATGGTCTTCATTACTAAATAATGAATAATTCCAAACACACACACACTTAACAATAACAAGAAATTTGACTTAGAAATGTAGATGAGCTTTAATCTAGGCCCATAAGTGTCTGTTTAAGAGACATTATTCTTTTGTAAAGAGAATTTCTAACGCAAATCTGGAATTATTCATTCAAGAAGTCACAAATTAAATACAGAGGTTCTAATAAAAAATTCCAGATGCATTCATTAGATTCTTTCAGACTGATTTTATTTATTTCTGAGCATCTTTGAAACCATCTAAATAATCCATAGAATTTGTGGCCTTAGGAACTACTAACTTACTTGGCCTTGAAAGACAGTCTAAGTTCAGGAAACTAGTTTTGGACAGAAGCTGTCTCCAGCTAGGTATTTTATCAAAAATCCCCTGGTCTCATGCTGGGGAAGCCTTACTCTCCCCTCACAAAATGTGTGCCCAGTAGCAGAAATGGAAGTGCCTGTGAGATTTTATCAGTAAACATTTAGGGCCCTAAAAGTTTTAGGTTCAGATGACAGCAAGTGGCTAACAAGCTGCAGGACTGAGGATATCAGTAAAGCTGAAATATTGACTGTAAATATCTTACAGAAACATCTGGGCTTGCAGTTCCTATTGGTGAACCCAGCCCCTAGTTGCAAAGCAGCATGTATTGTTGATGGCTGGTTAGGAAGTGAATAATTTAAACATTAACTTTGTATAAAAGCCAACTGATTAATATCTTTCAACTGAGAAATAAAACTCATGTTGTGACCATTCTATCACTAAAGTTTCTGTAGTCATTTTATAAAACTATATGGAAAATCCAACAGGATTGACATTCTGAGTTATAAATTTAGACTACTGTCTATTGCTATACAATATCAGTAATAGCTTATGCTGCTGTTTTCCTTAGTTGCTAAATTTGGATACTGTTAGATGCTCATAGCTTTTGCTATTTGTCTTCCTCGGGAATGGCTAGTTTCTCTGCAGTATGTTATTTCCCTATTCTAGGGGACATTATCAGGTTTAGATTCCTTAATCATCTCTAGGACCTCTGAGATAATAGTTGGATTCGTCATAACCATTCCCTGTTTGGAATGCCAGGGGAGAAGAACCAAGGTAACACTGGTCTTACAGCATCTTTTCTACTCGGTCCCATCAGGATGCCTGATGAAGTGTATAGACTAGCTTCAGGGGGCCTCAAGCAGCACTCTAACTAGTCTGGTGCAGCTCTTGATCCGTTATCAGGATACGTCCCCTGGCAGAGGTTTTTCAAGTCCTTTCATTTTGTTATGAGATAGGTTTAGATAACATTAAGTTATCTCATGGGGGTAGGCTAGATGATGATACAAAGACAAGGGTGCAGGCTAAGTGTTAAAAAACCCTTAAGGGAAGATGATGACAGAGCTTATGATTTGGCCATTGTGCCTGATGCCATTTTTTGTGGTGACCCCTCACCAAGGGACCCTAACGTCTACCCTTCCAGTCTGAGATGTCTTTAATGGAATGAACCTCTAAAATGGACTACATAGAGTCCTGGGCCACCAGCATTTGAAAATCAGTTCATTTACTGGCATAGTAATGACAAACTTCATACTTAAAGCACCTAGTCTGAAAAAAAAACACCTTAAGTCACGTTGCTCACACTAGACTCCCTGACTTACAATACCAACAACCAATATTGCAAAGCTTCATAGCACTGAAGTGTCAAGATCACTTTTAAAGAACCGTTTCTTAAACGTTTGGTTCCAAATTAGAAGCAAAATAAACTTTTCTTTTAGAGGTTTACATGAAGATTCAATGTATTTCATGTGCATTTTGAGTTTTATATACTGGACTTGAATAAATAGTAAAATATACTGCTGTCTGACACATTAGGATGACACTTACCTACTGTTGATTTGTGGGCACTACCATATCCTGAGCTGCACTTCTAGATCTTGATGAGGATGATGAAACTTCAAAGCTGGAAAGAAATTATAATCTTCAAGAATGATCCATAAGAATTATCTAAGGAGCTATGTGATCAGAAAATGATCAGGCAATGATGGTGGTATGGCATATGCCATGTTAGTAACTGAGATTAATGAATCAGCTTGTCAGAAACAATATTATATTGAAATGACATTATGTAAAAAAGATACATATATTCAGGAAAAAAAAAAAAAAATTCTTTGCATCAAAGTGGCAATCAGGAAGTAGAGAAATGTACCAGTTTTGGTAAAAGCTCTAAATGGATCTTAGGTCTGGTTTTAGTAAGTAATGCAAATTTTTAGGTGATATCTTCATTTACTATATATGTGTAGCACTACTTCAGTTGAGTTAAGCAGATACACACTACCTGATTAATTTGGCCCAGCTGATTTGCAAAATATCCCATTACCTAGACAACAACAATTTTCAGGAAGGCCAGATTTAGAGGGTGAATATTTTTTAATTCAGAATTGTGATCCATTGTTGCTATGTGAAGCTGTAAGTCATTAACCATTTCTACAAGCTGTTCTCAGCACACTAGTGAGCATGTGTGACTGTGAAATGAAGTGCTGATCTTTGCTGAGGTGATTGGAACAGGACTGGTTCTAAGCCTCATCTTTATGACTGATGGTAAAGAATATGTTCTAGTTCTCCTGAATCCTTCAACTTCTGCTAGGAAAAAGGCATGCTGAGAGGAATGATACTTTATCCTGTTAAGAAACCCCTCTGCTCTCAGGAGGCATACCCTTGCCTGTCATATCATTTCAGGATTCACTAGTTTCTATATGTAAGCCTTGTCTGGTAACAGTATTGGTTACTGTATATCAAGGTCAGTGTTAAATATTCAACAGTAATGCTTGGAAAAAGTGAATAATACCATCTAACTTTGCCAAATAATTTGCAACCAAACATGAAGCAAAAAAAAAAAAAAAAAAAAGCAGTTACGGACAAGATTTTAAAAAGAGATTGCCTTTTCTTTCAGGTAATTTGTATGATGGACAGGGTAGCATCTTTGCATCACCACTTTGTTTGTATGTCCTGGGCTATTTCTCGTTTCCTCCCTCTTTTTTTTTTTTGTCTACGGTGTGACTCTGCCTCTGCCTTTTTCCTCCCTGAGCTCAGACTTCTATCTCCGTAACGGTAAGCTGGACTGACCTTTGTAGGGTTTGCTTCCTTAGTTGTCCGAGTGCATCCTCTGGCAATAGGGGACTTTGGATGCTCTCCTCTCACTAGAACGTCTCAATTTATATACTTGATGTGTCTCTCAATTGCACCTTAAATGCTCTTTCAACCTTAAATTAGCTTCTCCTATTCTCAGTCTGAGGCAAAATAATCTAACTTCAGCAATCCTAAAACACAATAAATGCATAAATGGTTTCCTAGACTTGTGGACTTCTCTGAAACTCAGTATCTATACTTAAGTGTTTGTGTATGTATACATATATATATATATAAATATCCCCGTTTAATATTATAGCTAGTTTTGGATTAAGCATAGTTTTAAAAATTTTCTGATTAGTTTTTGACAGTGGAACCACCAACCAGCCTTGCACAGTTATGTATCTTTACATTAAATTGTTGACTGAGCTGTAGTTTATAAAGCATTTTTATGATCTGCAGAGCATAATCTCTTTACAGGAAAATAAGGAAGTGCAGGACACATTTTGTAATACCTTAGAGCATTCAAAATGGAAAAATGAATCTGTAAATTTCATAGATATTTAAATATGAGCACAGTTCTTTCCAGGCCCACACTTTAAATTATTCATTACCCAAGAAAATGGAAAAATGTAATTTAAGTGTCAGAAAGATTACACTTTGAAATGCAGTGGGTGTGTCCATACAGTTGTGCTAAACCACATCAGATAAAAATGAATCAAATAATTGTGTAGCAACAGAAAAGGATTAAAACGTCCTCCAGAATTGTCAGTGTGACTGGTTCACCTTTAGACATGTCAGGTAAATTAATGAAATAAAATGAAAACCATATAGTATTCATGTTGTTTTAAAATTCGATCACCTGAGAATAAACAGGCTGTAAAAAGTACTGCTGATAAGAGTAAAAAACAAGTTGGCTTGAAGACCGTGAAGTGGATGATACCAGTTTCTGATGTCACAAACTACAGGTCTGTTTCTTCAGTGGTAATGATATAAGAATATGGTCTAATGCAGTGACTTTTCAAAGTGTAATCTATAGATATGCTTGCAAGGAGCCCAAAGACTCTTACAAAATACAGTCTTGCATTGTTTATATCACTTTTGCCCTATTTTGAGTTTAAAGTTTGATAATAAGAATGGGTGGGGACATGCACAGGTTCATTGGCCAAAGAAGTGCAGGGGTCACTGCTTAACACTGCTGGACAGGGTTTTATAGATACTGTCACACAAACAGCTTACCCAAAGGCACTGCTGCACTGACAGGAACAGCAGGGTAACCTGAAACATGAGCCAGCCCATGGGCTGCCTTTACTGATACATAATGGAAAGGAATCTAAACTAATTATAATCTAACA